TGTCTTGAAATTCTCAGTGTTTCTCATTGAGGAGGCTGGCCTCACAGTCAGCTGGGTCACAGATGGTCAGAGTAACTCAGCTGGCTTCCTCCTCCAGCTCCGCCAAAGGTCAGAGATAGGGGAGCCATCCCAGCTGAGTCAGAACTAAAATAAGAACCTAGCTGAGAGCCAGAAGGCAAGTGGGCTGTGGCCACCTTGGTCGGGAAGATGCTCTGGACACTGCAGGGAGTTCATCCTAACCCGGCTTTCCCTGAAGTCAACACTGCCCTTTTGTGTTTGAAATACGACACCTTCTTGAGTTTGTGTGTTTTGCTCAGGACACAGTAGATTCCTTAAAAAGGACATTTAGGAGTGAGACTGTGTGTTTGTGGTCACAGCACGGGTGCAAGAGAAGTGACCTGAGGGTGGAAGGGCTGCTCCAGGCGCATTTTCCTGTGAAAGACGCTAAACACGCAGAGAAAACCTGCCCAGCCTATAAGAGGAATTCTGAGCATGTTCTTCAGGTTGACCAAACCCTGCCCTTCTGACTGACCATGGGAGGGGCCTGGGAGCCGCTTGCAGATTCTAGTCGCGATGGCAGTCCAGGGGGTTTCTTTACTGAGGGCATGAAGCCAGGCTGAGGTCATGGGTGGGGCCCTTAGATGGAGTCACTCATTCCCGGGGGACCTGGGGCAAGGACAGGTCTGCCCACTGGCTAGCCCGTCCCGTCCCCTGGGACTTCACACGGGTAGAGCTGGTCCCGCTGGTTGGGAGTTGGGAGAGCCTGAGGGATTGGTTGGGAGGCGTGTCCGTGTCCCTGCGGGTCGGCGCCTTTGCAGGAGGAGCAGGCTTAGGGCATCCCGAATTCCACAGCTCCCAGACACAGGTCAGCCAGCACAGGCCAGAACCCAGAGAAGCTTCCAGGAGGAACTAGGCATGGGCGGGCCTGGAAGGCCGGAAGCTGGGGAGGAAGGGCCTGCATGTCTCTGCCTGTTGGACAGTGTCCACAGAGCTGGGAGTGTTTTATCATCACCGGTCAAGGCAACTGTCCTCAGCCCTCCCCATTCATGGAAACACGAGTGTGTGTGGGTTTGAGCAAGAGCAGAGATTAGGTGTCAGTGGGCTGTGTCTGTGTGGCAGGACTGTAGTGTGTCTCCCCTGCCTCTTGTCCATCATCTGTAATAAGCTGCGTGTGTTTGGAGTTGAGGAGTCCAGCCCCCCACAGAGCTGTGCAGTCTGGCCCCCCCACATCCCAGAGCCCGCAGGGTCCCCACCAGGGGGCTGCCCACCACACACCATTCCCCAGTTTTCTGCTGTTAAAGATTGTGCCTCTTGCTCCTGTTGATGGAAATAATCAATAAACAATCCACAACAGGAGAAGCTTGTGGCTTTTTGAGCCAAACTGCAGGCTGTAACCCAGAAGACAGCCGCTCGGGTGACTGAGAACTTGCTCCGGGGAAGCCTGGTCTCGGTACAGTTTTCTGTTTGTCGGAGCAGAGAACGTTAAACATGTCAGGGACGCATTCCTTCAAGGTTGAAAAACAACAGGCCAGCGCGTGCAGAGCCAGCGTGGCCTTGGCCCCTGGGAGGGAGTCACCATCTGAGGACTGGCACTGGTGTCCTGGACGGGCGGCATTTGACCTTTACTGTAACCAGGATGCCCTTCACTTCTGGCCAGTGTGTCCTTTTCTCTAATAATTAAAGCAGGTGTGTGATATATACTTGATAAGCCACAAAGGGGTATAAACTTGGAAGTAACTCTTGCTTGAGCCAGAGTGGCATTCCCAGGCCCGTGTGTGAGGACCCCTCTCGTGCCTCCCTCACCCCCTCCCCCCCGCTGGGCCAGGCCAGCACGCAGGGGACAGGTGTGCGGCAGCCCCCCTTCCACCTGGTGGAGGACGAGAGCACCTGAGTTCCCTCTGGCCCGTCCCGCTGCATGGATTCCTTCTGCTCTGCAGCTGGGGGCACTCTGACCGAGGGGCAGAATATCACAGGAGCAGCAGCATCCTGTGCTCTGGCCACTCTCACCTCTGTCCTCCTGTGCAGGAAATGGGCGTTTGTGCCAGAAATGGGGGCATGAGAAGGAACCTGCTAGCACCAGTGTCTTTACTTTGTGTCATAGTTGTTTTGTTTTAGTAGAAAAGGAAAATCAGAGTGAATTTCCCATTTGAGTGAAACAGAGAGACAGTGAGGGCTTCCCAAGTGACACTAGTGGTAAAAACAAACAAATAAAAAAAAACCTGCCTGCCAGTGCAGGAGATGCCAGAGACCAGGTTCAATCCCTGGGTCAGGAAGATCCCCTGAGGACGGCATGGCAACCCACTCCAGTATTCTTGCCTGGGAAGCCCGGTGGACAGAGAAGCTGGCAGGCTACAGTCCATGGGGTCTCAAAGAGTTTAACACAACTGAGCACACATGCACACACAGCCAGAGAAACAGTGAGCACAGTCAGTCTGCCCCGTGGTAATTTAACCAGGATGTCCCCACATGCTGGATACATGGGGCTCCTGTGGGCCGAGGTCTTGGAAGCTCCTGCCAGGCGCTGGGGTGACATCAGCATGGGACTGCACCCACAGAAGAGGGAGCATTGACCTGCACATTTCTATATTGGAATCCGTTTCCCAGGCTAGGGTCAGCATGTTCCACTTGGTGTTAACCAACCACGTAGATGAGGACCTGCCATGTAGCACCAAGAGCTCTGCTCTGTGCTCTGTAATTACCTTATGGGTGAAGAATCTGGAAAATTGGGAATGTCTGTATATGCATAACTGATTCACTTTGCTTTCTGGCAGAAACTAACAACATTGTAAATCAACCATACTCAAATAAAAATTTAAAAACCCACGTAGATGGTGTTTGGTAATGATGCATGTAATTCATTGAATTCAATGTAATTCAATTCAAATAATTCAAAAATTATTTGAGAGGATTTGAATTTTAAAAGTACCAGTTATTAAAAGTTGCTTTTTAGACTTTGCCAAACATGCTCGGGCTTCTGTCCAGGCCCTCGGTGTTTGAGCTCTTAGGAACAGCTGCCATTCTTGGTCTGTTACCTTTGGTCAGGTTATTCATCTCGGGCAAGGTGTTACGTCAGGGGTACAATTTGTTCTGGCTGAAATCATGGCATCAGCTGGGCTGGTGGACTTGCAGACTTTCGTGCAGCATGTGGGAGGGCCGAACGCAGGAGGGCAGGATGCGGAAATGATCAGCTCAGCACAGACGAGCTGCATGTGGTTACACATCCAACAGGCTGTCGGGTGCACTCAGCCTGGGTCCTGGACCTCCTGCTCTAGTCTGAATGTTTGTGTACGCCCTGACCCCTGATGCTTGTGAGGCCATGAGGTCAGGCGTGAAGGTCCCTGGAATGGGACCCGTGAAGCCCCTGTCCCTCCATCGCGGGAGGGCTCAGCGAGGAGGCGCCAGCCAGAACCCAGGGGGCAGGGGCAGAGTCCTCACCCAGCATGGCCACACTGGCCACCCTGGTGCCTTGGTCCTGGGCTTGCTGCCTCCAGGACCGTGACACGTGAATTTCCGTTGTTTATAAGCCATCTGGTCAGTGGTGTTTTGTTACAGTGACTCTAAGGGACTGAGACTCGGCTCAGTAGATGAGAAAATGGTCAGAGCTCATGAAATACAAGCCTCTCCAGTCTGGATGGATGTCAGGGACATCTGGGGTACAGACCTGTCCTGTGGGATCTGCCGGAGACCCCATGTCAGCCATGATGAGGAGAGGGGTTGATCGGACGATGGAAGCCCTCGGGAGATCCTCTGGGAATCCCAGAACCCAGGAAACTACTGCACAGGCCCACTGCTCAAAGCTGGCCTTGAGGGGTTTTATATTAAAACAGCTTCCCACTTGCTTCAAGGCTGTCTTGCTGCGCTGTGCAGGCTGTAGTGATCTAGGTCAAGGGAGATCAGATAAATGTTTTCTTATGGTTACAATCACAGTCTAAAAGAATTGTTTGCATTTCTTAGAGTGACATTATTAAGTGCCAGAAATGGTTTAAAAGTAACAAAAGGCCTGGATACAAAAATTGAGCAATGGTGTTGATTTGGCCTCAAATTACCCCTTGTCCTCTTGGAGGAATAACTCATGTCCACTCTGTGTGGCTGGGAGGGGATGTGAGGGACCAGGCGGCCAGCCTATGCAGCCCGCACAGGTCGGGGCCACGTGGTTGCCCGTCCACTCTCGGCTCCTGGACCCTGGGGAGCAACGCACTATTACCTGCATGAATCTTGTAGGGAACACAGGTGGCTCCCGGCCACATGTAGGCTCCCTGTGCTGAGTGGGTTGGGCACCTCTTACATACCCACTAGATCTGCAGAACATGCTGCGAGCACACAGTAGGCATTCCAAATGTTCTGATGTGACAGCACATAGGACGTAACACAAGCAGTTACTTTGTAAGAAGCTGAGACCCCAAAAGAACAGCTGCCCCTGCTGCCCAGGAGACACCCTCAGGCTGTGTTGGAGACTCAAGGGACTGAGAGATGGGACTGGAGAGGCTGTCCCCTCTCCCATCTACTCCCCAGGCCCCAGGTCCCCACCTCTGCAGGGCTGACGGTGAGCACTGCGGGCGACCCTGTGTTAGGAGCACAGCCCGGTGGAGAGCATCCCTTGTCCTTTGCCCGAGATGCAGACCCAGGAGCCGGGTTACAGGCTCGACTGGGGCCAAACAGGAGGAGTTGTAACTGGACACGGTTCTCTCCCTGGCGCCCCTTCGGGAGCCTGGGACTGAGCCGTCACTGCCCAGAGCCGTGGAGGGAGCAGGTTCCTGCCAGCGCCCCCACCGGCTGTTATTTCCCCTGGAGGGCGGCCGCACAGCCGGTCCTTTGTGAGGGGAGGGCCCTGCAGCTTCCAGACCCACCGCAAGCTCTGGACTCTGGACAGGAAGGGCTGCGTGACCCTGGAGCAGCTGACGTGTGGGAACCGGGAGGGGAGTACGGGGGAGTGACCAAGGGAGCTGCCTCGGTGTCGTGAGTCCCTCCATCCCCTGTCCCTCAGTCCTGCCGCTCCTACCATGGCGCTCCGGGGCCCGCGCCCAGCTGTCATCCCAGAGGACCAGGAGGTCCCCCCAGCGGCCCGTAACGGGGAGCCACGGGGTCTCGGCAGCCAGGATGAGAGGGCAGAGTCCAGGCTGCAGCGCCGGCACAGCGATGTCAGGGTCTACAAGGAGTTCTGTGACTTTTACGCCAAATTGTGAGTGGCCCCCTCCCGCGCCCCCTCCTGGGGCTGGAGTTCACTGCCTTGGGGTTTGACCTGCACCTTCAGCGGGGCTCCTCCCAGGACTGGAGGTGGGGGGCGAGAGTGCCCAGGACGGAGTGCAGAAAAGAAGGGAGGAGAGAAGGAATGTGCTGCCTACAGGCAGGAGGAGGGCCCTGCTGACTCCTCCTGGGAGCTGGAATGGAATCACTACATCTCCATCTGCGGGTGTGCTTAGCAGGGAAGGGAGTTTACCTGACCTGAGTCTCTGCTTCCTCCCTCCAATCCCTGTGCTTTCGCAATAGATGTCCCGCTTCTCTTTACCTGAGACAGCAAGCTCCTGACGAGCTCTAACACCAATTGGACCAACACAGTTACACTGTAACCAGAATGCTTGGTGAACTCAAGGTGCTTTGGAGGCTCACATTCCTGCACTTTAATGCTAGAACATATGTTTCACACACTTCGATAAACAAGGCACTTAAATAACAGAAGGCTCGGTGATGTCAGGTTTTCTGTGTGCGGCTGAAACAGTTGTGACCAGACCATCACCAAGGCTCCTTTGCTCCCTAGGCGTACATTTCCCACCATGGAAATCCTCTTTGAAATATTAGCCTGTTAATTATAACTAATCCAATGACAGCTCACAGTGTTCAGTGTGGTCCTCACTTTACCATCTGGGGGGTATTGGCCATGGGGGGCTGTGCCCCGAGGGTCAGGGCTGTACAAGAACTCTGCATCTTCCACTGAACTTTGCTGTAAACCTAAAACTGCTCAAAAACAGCCCATTTAAAAATATATATATATATATATGTATATATATATATAAAACAGTGCTAGAGGGTCAGAGAGGAAGGGCAATGTAAGCAGTTGAGTAGGTTGGTGAGATTATTGGTTTGTTTGGGCTTCTTTCCTCAAAGTTTCTGCTAATGTTCTCTTTCCTTTGTCTTCTTGCTTGTTGTTAAAATGAACACTTCTTCAAAAACACAGTCTTCTCTCTAAGACTAATTTACTTTTCACGCGTGTGGGGGAAAACTTGCTTTTATAATGTGTCTGTTTTCTAACCACATTCTAATCTGTGAGTATTTGAACTTGAGTGTAAATGGTCTGTAGTGTAATGAGCATAAGTTGGTTAGTGATAAACAATTTGATCTGGGGACCCATTCATAGTCTTAAAAAATACTGAGGTCTCCAAATAGCTCTTGTTTTATCGGTATTTACTGTATTAGAACATAAAACTGAGAAAAATTTTAAGTACTTGTGATTAGTTCACTTAAAATAGCAACGTGCTCATTACACATTAATAATATTAATTTTATATGAAATATTTCCAAAATGACAAAACCTGGTAGAAAGAGTGGCATTGTGTTAACATGTTTGCAAATTGTGTGTCTCAGTAAAGCCATGCCATCTGCCTTCGGTCTTCTGGAAGATGTTGTTTTGAATGAAGTTTATAAAGAAATTGTGGCCCCTGCAGAGACGTGGGGAAGAGGGCACTTTTCCTCACAGATGATGTCACAGATCTGGGAAATTGGGATTCGGGGCACTCCAGGGTTTCTCCTGTAGCTCTTTTGGGATTCTGCTAAAATCACTGAGTATTCAGTGACTCTTTTGAGAGGATTTTAAATCAGTAACAATGCTTGATGTTTGAGTTTCCAAAGTGGTTTTATAGACTTTTTCTTATTCAACTCTCAGAGCAGTACTGGGCCTGTGGAGGTGGCTGTGGGCCGCTGCACGTTGTCGAGGGGCACCTGTGGATTTTGGTCCCTGTTTGGAGAAGAGGACCAGAACCAAACTGCCCTCATTCATCCAGCTCACAGCAGAGCCGGGTGACAAGGGAGCTGATGACTTCTCTCCCTGATCCCCAGTACTTTTTCAACAACAGATAGAAAGTTCGATGCAGTAGGGGACTTAGGTCAAGTTTGCCAAGTGTCAAGGCCACATCCCTCCCTTCCTTTCCTGGCAATGCTTTAATCGAGTTTTGTTGGTGTGGGGTCATGGACATGGGGTGGGGTGTGAAGTCGACAAAGTAGGATGTTGCTCTGTGAGACCGTTGCCAGGAGCGGGTGGGGTCGTCTTCTGTGGGAGAAGGGGTGAGGTGTGGTCTGTGCAGACCTTGCTAAGGAAATAGTGAGATGTGGGCTGTGATGGGGACAAGGGAGCAGTCCTCCAAGGGATGGGGGGAACTCTGCCTCCCCCCTGGGGGCTAGGCAGGCTCTGGAAGTTGGCAGTGACTGCCCAAGGAGGGCTGAGTGGGTGTCTGGGGACGCAGACACACAGCGGAGCGCATGCTCTGAGTGGGCGTCTGGGTATCTGAAAATAAACATGCAAATCATGAAGCTGCTGGGCCAGCACCAGCTCTGGCAGGGCCTTCCCCCTGGGGGCTGTCCAGAGACCCAACAGTCCTTCCCCGGAGCCCGCAGTCTGGAGAGATCTGATCGCGGGCTCAGTCAGTGCTTTCCCTTTGCTGAACACACCCGAGTGTTCAGGGTCCAGGGGAACCCTGGCTGGTGGTTACTCAGCCGGGGTCTTGTCATGGTTCCTGTTTCCTGACAGGTCTCTCGGGTCCTGTCGAGCATGATACCGTCATCCCATTTTGGCACCTGGGCAGGGGAGCCTGGATTCTGGGCCTGTGCCTCCCTTGAACCAGACGGCTGTGCGAGGCTGGGCTTGTCAGTTTCTGGACCTGCACATCACCGGCTGTAAAATGTTCTCAGGGTGGGAAATTCTGTGGCTTTCAGATCCATCTCCCGATGACCATGTTCAGATCCGTCTCCCAGTATCCATGTTCGGCATTTGTACCCCCGTCGGACTATAGGACTGAAGGTGCTTTGGCAGGGTCTCACCAGCTGGGGCCTGTATCTGGGTTGTGCCTTCAGCATGTACAGGCTGTGTTGGGGGGCAGTTTAGTGAAGCCAATGTCAGGCCCTCAGTTCAATCCTTTGAGGTGGCTCATGAGGCTCCCTTTCAGCCCTGGCTCTTCACGGGCCAGGCAGCGGGTAGGGTGCCCTCTGGGCTGTTGGCAGGAGGATGCAGGATGTTAGCGAACCAGAGGGTCTGCACCCAGATGCCACATGAGAAAGTGGGCTTGAGACCTTGGGTCACAGGTGAGAAGCCGGCTTTATGGACAAGGCACGGTTGTTGTGACCCCAGCCCAAGCTCTCAGGAAGGGCTGCCATCTGTGACCCATGTCCCCTGTCTGTCTGTTGCAGCAACATGGCCAACGCCCTGGCCAACGCCAGCTGCGAGCGCTGCCGGGGCGGCTTTGCGCCCGCTGAGAAGATTGTCAACAGCAATGGCGAGCTCTACCATGAGCAGTGCTTCGTGTGCGCCCAGTGCTTCCAGCAGTTCCCAGAGGGCCTCTTCTATGAGGTGGGTGCGGGTGAGCTGCGGGGGCGGGGCAGTGATGCTAGGGGGTTGGGGGGTTGGGCAGTGATACTGGGTGGAGGGGGCAGGGAGAGAGGGCCTGGGCAGTGATGCTGGGCTGGGAGAGCTGGGCAGTGATGCTGTGTTGGTGGGGGCTGGGCAGTGATGGTGGGTGGAGGGGACAGGGAGGGAGGTCTGGCCAGTGATGCTCAGTCGTGGTGGGGGCTGGGCAGTAACAGTGGGTGGTGATCAGCCCTGTGGATGCCCCCCAGCACCTGTGTACTAAAGGGGCTCTTGTTTGTGGAGTGGGGACACCCCATCTTATCCTGTTCTTCTCAGTGTCTCCTCTTCTTTCCCAAACACCTATTCTTCCTGGCCCTATGATTGTTACCATGGGCGCTGGGCACAAGTGTGTTCATGCTGACTGTCCTGAAATGCCCCCTCACGTCTGCTTTGGGGCTGGTCCTGGGACGGCCTCAATCTGGGAGTGAGGGCAACAGTGTGTGTGTGTGTATCTGTGTCTGTCTGTGTCTGTGTATATCTGTGTGTGTGGTGTGTGTCTGTATGTGGTCTGTGTGTGTGGCTGTGTGTGACTGTGCATGTGTCTGTGTGTGAGTGCGTGCCTGTGTGATCACCTCCTTGTGCATCTGCACGCATGTGGTGATATGTGTACACAGTTATGTGACACCCAGAGGTGGCTGCTGTTTGGTTTCTCCTCCTGCAGATTTTAAACTTTTCCTGTTTTACAGGCCATTCCTGAGGAAGGAAAGGTGACTTTTAAAGGTCATTAGTAAGTCAGTTGTTGGTTAGTCTGACATTGTTTTCCCATAGGAATGGGGCCTGGGAGGGAGGCTCGTGACCAGCCTGCAGAAGTCATGGGGCCACAGAGCAGAGCAGTGTGTGTGTCGGGACAAACTCCAGAACACCGTGTTGCTCAGACACATCTATTCAGCTCCTACCATGTTCCCAGAACACGTGTTCCCTATGACAGAAACCCTCGCCATCAGAACAGGAATCTCATTTTCTGTCAAGGGTGATGGCCTTCAGACTGGTTCTGGGGGACCGAGCAGAGCTCTCCAGTCCCTAAGCTGGTGCAGGGGAGGCTGTGGCCCCTGGCACCCAGGCCCGCAGTGCAGCGTCAGGGGTCCAGGGAGCCCGCCCCAAGGAGACCCTGGTCTCCACACTTGTAAAGCCTTTACCTGCCTGATCCTTTTCAAGGCCCAGAGAGGCTGCGTGCCCTTGACAAGAGCAGACCAGTGATGTAATAGGGTTAGAACCCAGTTTGGCCCTCTGATATCTGATATGGTTTTCTTTCCCTGACCTACTATTTTCAGAGCTAAGATTTTTACTGAAATGGGTAGTTATGGCAATGGCCTTAAGAGAGATTCTAAGGAGGAAAAGAGAAGAGGCAGGCTCTTGATCTCCATGGCCTGCTGTTGCCTCTCCATCACTTTCTTTTTCCCATACTGTGAGAAGGGTACAAGCAGTCCCCCAAATAGAAAGCATTAATAAACTAGATAATGTTGAACTCGAGTCTTCTAGGTATCAGGCATCCTTATCAGTGGAAGACTGAAATCACTGTGAGGGAAAGAGGGGTCCTGCTTATCTAGGTAGGATATGCTGCTCATGCGAATAATCAAACAGTAAACACAATTTAACACTTGTAACATGCTTTCCTAAAAACTTTTGATCAATTGATAGATTGATTTGGCTGCATCAGAATCTTCACTACGTCATGTGGAATCTTTGATTCTGGTGCAAAGGCTCTCTAGTCGAAGCACGCAGGCTTCGTAGTTGAGGCTCACAGGCTTGGTAGTTATGGCACGTGGGCTTAACTGCTCCTCCACTTGTGGAATCTTCTAGGACCAGGGATCGAACCCGTGTCCCCTGCATAACCACTAGAAGACCAGGCAAGTCCCCATACTTATATTTTGATCATTTGTATAGTAATAATTTTTGTAATGGGCTTCCCTTGTGGCTCAGATGGTAAAGAATCCACCTGCAATGCAGGAGACCTGGGTTCAATCCCTGGGTCGGGAAGATACCCTGGAGGATGGCATGGCAACCCACTCCAGTATTCTTGCCTGGAGGATTCCATGGACAGTCCATGGGGTCGCAAAGAGTCGGACACGACTGAGTGACTAAGCACAGCACATCACACAAAAGTGTTTACAGTTAAAATATGCTAGAATATTTACTGTCTATAAATTTGTTTTTTCAACATGGGGAGAAGGGTCTGTAGTTCTCCTCCACCCTGCAGGTGGGGTTTGAGCCAAGACCTGGTGAAGCCTGGTGAGCAGGGGGCTCATTGCTCTCTGCAGGTGGAGGGTCACTTCTGGCCTCAGCTGGTCGGGGAGCCTGTCCTGTATCCACACACAGGTGTGTGGAAGGTGCCAGAGGGTGCCCCTCTGCTTCACAGGCCTCAGGAGGATGATGGATCCTGGGGCTATCTCCTACTCACGAGGGGCGGTACTTTCTGTTTCAGTTTGAAGGAAGGAAGTACTGTGAACATGACTTCCAGATGCTCTTTGCTCCTTGCTGTCATCAGTGTGGTAAGTGTTGATGCCCAACCTGCAGTGAAAAGTGAGTTTCCTTCTGCAGGACTTCCTCCCACGAGCTGCGTAGGAGGGAGAGTTGTCAGGTGCTTGTCAGCCGCACTCCCCGTCATCGAGGTTAACCACCTGGGAGAGTCCCAACCCGAGAGCACCACTTCTCATGGCCCGAAGGGTGACTGACCCCAGGACCTGCCGGGCTTCCATGCAATTCCCTTTTGTCAGTGCAGTCGGTGGGGGGCAGCGGGGACCTCGAGAGGCACAGAGGTGGCCTGCCGGTCACACAGCCGGAGAACCTGGGATTAGCAAGTAGATGCTGAGAAGGCTGGATGCAGGAAAAAGTTAAGTCTGCATCACAAGAAAGCAGGCTGTGAATTTCTGTTTTCTGTGCCCATGACCTGATATAACCACAGGCCTCGGACAGGGAGAGCCCACACCTTGTTTAGAAAAGGAGAACAGACCCAGAGATGAGACAAGATGGCCCAAGAATGTGTCTGCAGGGCCAAACACAAGGGCTCAGGGGACATGGAGGCGTTTTTCTAACGCAGAGCCTCCTGTGGGGTCCTAGCACAGGGAGAATGCTTTCACAGGGCCGTGGGCAGGGAGGCCGAGCTGCGGCCTGAGTGTCCCTCCTACAGGTGAATTCATCATCGGCCGGGTGATCAAAGCCATGAACAACAGCTGGCACCCCGAGTGCTTCCGCTGCGACCTCTGCCAGGAGGTCCTGGCTGACATCGGTTTCGTCAAGAACGCCGGGAGGTACGAGCAGGGCACCGGTCCCCACAAGGCAGGTGGGTGGGTGGGCAGGGTGGTGCCGCAGGGTCACCTGTGCTCCCAGGTCATGCACGGGCAGTGTGGCGTGGCCGGGCCTGTGGGGGGCGCCCTGGCATTGTCCTGCATCTGGCACAGCTGCCAGGGGGGTCTTTTAAGTGCTACCTGATCATCCCGGTGGGAGTAAGTAGCTTCCTGTGGAAAGTGGGGCTTGGTTCTGCTCTTGAAACTCAGCAGTGATTGTTAAGAAACGGTCTTTTGAATTTTTTTGCATAAATATGGGAAACTTTTTTTTTTTTTAATTATTAGAAGAACGTTGGATTTTAAATGTCAGCTTCTATGGCTCTGTTTAGGCACCTGTGTCGCCCCTGTCATAACCGGGAGAAAGCCCGGGGCCTCGGCAAATACATCTGCCAGAAGTGCCATGCCATCATCGACGAGCAGCCCCTGATATTCAAGAATGACCCCTACCATCCAGACCACTTCAACTGCGCCAACTGTGGGTAGGCCCGCGTTCTCTTGCTTACTGTACAGACAGTGGAAATAAATTAATGCACTGACCTGGGTATTATGTTACTCCAGCACCCAAACTGGTTTTCTTCAGCTTTTAATCTGGAAAATGTTAAACCTATAGGAGAGTCAAGAGACTCATACACAGAGAACCCCAGACCCTTCATGAAGTCTCACTGGGTAACATGTTGCCGTGTGTGTGTGTGTGTGTGTGTGTGTGTACAAGTGTGCATAAACATGTACCTTTAAATGTGTGTGCTTAGTCACTCAGTTGAGTCTGACTCTTGTGACACCACAGACTAGCCCACCAAGCTCCTCTGTACATGGGATTTCCCAGGCAAGAATACTAGAGTGGGTTGCCATGCCCTCCTCCAGAGGATCATCCCAACCCAGGGATCAAACCTGTGTCTATCAGCTCGTATTAAAATATCTCCAGTGATCCCCACAGCTGTTTTTCATCACATTGTTTTTAATACAGGGTCCCCCTCCCATGCAAAGAAAAAAACTTTAATTGATCTCATCTGTGTATCAAAATGGATATAACTTTCACAGTTGTGACCATTAGCATTTAAACTACATCTGTTTACTTTCACTCTCTATTTACAATTTTGTTTTTTCTTCAGTAGCTCAGGATAAGTTGTTAAGCTATGCATTTCACAATCTGCTGTGTATTATAAGAACTTAATGGAAAAGGTACTTGACCGTAGTCGGCGTGACTGTCCTGGCTGTTACCACGGGGAGTAGCGAGCTGCAGTGAAAGCTGACAGACAGCTTGTTTGGGGGATTCGGTTCCTGCTCGGTCTGGTTTTCTTGCCTTTGCTCCCTCTGTTCATTCTTCATGAGCACTTCTCCTAAAGAACCTTTTAAAACAGATGAAATTCATCTTGCTTGGGGGCTACCTCTGTTTATTAACTCAGGAGACTGAAGATAGTAGTGAACTCAAGCATTTGTCAGGGGAGCGGTCTGGGCGTTTGGGCTACATGTTTTCTGTGGACCTACCACTGTTCTTAGCAGCTTGTTAGTGTCTGTCAGGAAGTGGAACTGGTCTCCACACTCTTGTTATTTCAGGAAGGTAGCATCAGCAGGTCTGTCCCCGGGCCTGCATCCCTCTCCCCCAGCTTCTTAAGGAAAACAAGGAGGGACTCTGTAATAGAGTGTCAGCAGAGACAAGGGCCCGCGTGGGGGTACGTCTGACTGGTCATCTCTGGGTGATGTTTATGTTGACATGAATATGAAGCCTGCTGGAGCTGGTCGATCACTGTGACCACCTCTAGGGGGAGCAAGCAGTTATGGGGTTGCTGTGGTGGTCTATTCAGATGCCTTCTCTCGGGGTGTCAGCCGCACCAGCCACTGGCTCTCCCCTCGCTGGTGGTGCTCAGTGGCTCCTCTCTCGGGCAGGAAGGAGCTGACCGCTGACGCCCGGGAGCTCAAGGGGGAGCTGTACTGCCTGCCATGCCACGACAAGATGGGGGTGCCCATCTGTGGTGCCTGCCGCCGGCCCATCGAGGGGCGTGTGGTGAACGCCATGGGCAAGCAGTGGCACGTGGAGGTGAGTGCCCATGGCGGGGTGACTGGGCCCTCACACACCCAAGGCTCGGGGGTGCCAGCACGGCTGGGGGATGCTGAGGGGCGAGTGGGGGTGCTTGGCGACTGTCAGCAATGTGGAGTACAATGTGGAGAATGTAGATGGCACAGTGCTGTGATCAGCCTGTGACGGTGCGGGGAGACCTCTTGGTTCCTGGTCCAACCCAGAGAGACGTCCACATGTTCGCTCTGTTCTCATTCTGCTGTTGAGTCCAGGCCTCCGGATGCTGGATGAGGGCTGGGAGCACCGCAGGCTCGCTTGTGACCCAGATGACACCAGCGCCTAGGCTTTCATGGATCTTCTCTTTAGCTCTGGGGCTTTGCTTCACTACATAAATAAAACATGGTGATGCAAATATGACCTCATGCCATTTCTTTCAGCATTTTGTTTGTGCTAAGTGTGAGAAGCCATTCCTTGGACATCGCCATTACGAGAGGAAGGGCCTGGCGTACTGTGAAACCCACTACAACCAGGTAGAGATGGGCTCTTTGAATGTGACACACACTTATGTGAACTTGAGCTTCTCCACACTTAACGTGCAAAGAGAGCTCTGGGGAAATGTACACTGGGCTATACACATGGCTTTTTAACTTTTTATTTGGAAAATCACTTCACACTCAGAGAAAAGTGGTAAATACATACAAAGAAAATACCTACATGTTGTACTCAGATTCAGTACCTCCTTCATCACCTGTGTGTCCTTCCTGCCTTCTCTGACACACACATAAATGCTCATCCTATTATACACAAGTCAATGTATACGTACAAAAGTGTGCCGATTCTTTTCTAAAGCGTTTGATGATAAATTCCCTGTGGTCCTTTACCCCTAATGCTTCAGTGTGTACTTCCCAAGAATATGGGACTCACTTGTATAACCACTGTTACAAGTATTGATTACTCTGTCCATTCCAGTTTTGTCACTTTACCGAGTAATGTCCTTCTGGCCTTTTTTCCACTCCAGTGCTGGGCCCAGTCTGGGGTTCTCATGCTCCTTTACCATCCTGAAATCTGGAACATCTCCAGAGCCTTGTTTTGTTTTTCATCAAGATGAATAGTAAATTGTTTTCATTGTAGTAAGTAAAAACTAGTCAGTTAGCATTTACTGATCATCTCTATTAACAGCAAATTCTGAGTTTAGGTAGCCAGGCTATTTTTTTTTTTAATTGAAGGATAATTGTTTTACAATATTGTGTTGGCATCTGCCACACATCAATGTAAATCAGCCACAGGTATACATATATCCCCTCCTTCTTGAAATCCCCTCCCATCTCCCATGCTTTCCACTCCTCTAGGTGGTCACAGAGCACTCGGTTGAGCTCTCTGTATCACACAGAAGATTCCCTCTTGCTATCTTTTTTACATATGGTACTGTATATGATTCTATACTGTTCTTTCAATTCAATGGAATATTACTCAGCTATAAAAAAAAGAAATCATTTGCGTCAGTCCTACTGAGGTGGATAAAGCTAGAGCCTGTTATACAGAGTGAAGTAAGTCAGAAAGAAAAATATTGTATGTTAATGCATGTATATGGAAGCTAGAAACATGCTGGAGGGTATTTAAGTTGTACAAAGAACTGAAATTATATTAAATGTTTGGTGTTCTGATACTTAGTTGTAACGTATCTTTAATTTTACTACTTTTTTTTGTCTTTTCCCATTTCCAGCTATTTGGTGATGTTTGTTTCCACTGCAACCGTGTTATAGAAGGCGATGGTGAGCACCTGTCAGGCACCTTTGGACCCAAAACCCCCCGGTTGTGTGAAAACTGGAAAATGTTGTGATGGTCATCAGTTACTTTTCCTCTTTCTTTGGCGTCTTTCCCGAGTGATCTCTGGCCGTGAAATGCTAACTCCTAAGAATTGAACTTGTTGCTCATTTGTGATGACACTTTAGGCCAGTGCTGCAGGGTCGTTACCATAGAAATGGCTGACTCTGAGTCTTGCTTCTCCCTCCCATCCCTGGAATTACTTTCCGTGGAAGCTTCGGGGTGTGTTCATTAGGAGCACTTGAGCGGGGGCGGGGGGGGGGGGGCGGTCCCTGAACCATGCAGATGTGAACACCTGGTGGTTGTCTCTGGACCCTTCCAGAACCTGCCCCCTGGTCCCATGTGAGGAGGCCTGATTGACTAGCATGGAAAGGAAGCAGCTGTTTGCCAGCAGTCATTAGCAGATTTTGCCAGAAGCTTCCTGGTGAAGTTGTAAACACTGCTGTATCCAGCCCGCTTCATGCCTCTGGGCAGAGAGCCGAATTTGGGAAATACTTTCTGAAACACTGCCCAAGTGCCCTTTGTGAAGGGGTGGCTTCAGGAAAGTCATCTTTAGTGCCGGTGGAAATAAATCTCACCTCCGTCTGTGGGAGGCAGTTGCCAGGAGAGAGAAGTGGGCAGAGGAGCTTAATGTCAGCTTGGAAGGCAGACTCACCCCAGCTGGTGGGTTAGCACCTGGCTCCTGTTTCAATTACTTACCTAGTTCAGACTTCCTTGCTGAGCCGGTGGCAGGAGGCAGGTAGCAGTGCCAGGAGAGCTGGGCTGCACCTATGCAGCTGGGGGGTGGGGGCTCTGATGGGGAGACTTGGCATCTGCTGTTTGGATGCCTGGAAACATTAAGCATCAATATAGGTTGAAAGCAGTGATGGCCTTCCCTGAGGTGAGGCCTGCAGTTGTGGGAGACAGATGCAGAGCTGGGACTGTGTGTTCTCACAGTGTGATAGATAAATTAGTGAGTAACTTCAACTGATTGCATGAGCATCAGTTAACAGCACTGAGATGCTTAGTGTCATGTGTGGTTCTTGTGTGAGGAAAGCCCTAGAGAAGCGGCCCAGGGAAGGGGTTGGTGGTGAGCTGAGCTGCAGGTGAGTGACCATCCCCTTTCTCCCCAGTGGTCTCCGCGCTCAACAAGGCCTGGTGCGTGCACTGTTTTGCCTGCTCCACCTGCAGCGCCAAGCTGACACTCAAGTAAGTGTGCACGGGGCCTGCGAGCCCTCAGGTGGGACCCGCAGGGGACACTGTGGAGAGCATTCAGTGTCAGAAAAGAAAGACCTGACGCTTCTTTCTTCTTTCTGTCCAGGCCTTCTTAAAGCAAAGCTTGCTCCTTTAATCGTTCCCTGTTTTCTTTTGTTCCTTCTCTGTCCTGCACAAAGGGATAAGTTTGTTGAGATTGATCTAAAGCCAGTCTGCAAACATTGCTATGAGAAAATGCCAGAAGAATTTAAGAGGAGACTTGCCAAGCGGGAGAGAGAAGCCAAGGATAAGGACAAGCAGAAAAAGAAAAAGCCAGTCTGTCTGTGAGCTTTTCTGTCCCTCTGCCACCATTTCTACTGCTTTCTCCTGTGGTTAGTCCTCTAGAATACATGTTCATCCTGGTTTTGTCTCTTGCTTTTCTCATTTCTTTTTGGCATGTATTTGTAGCTGCCGGAGGCTGACATAGACAGGCTTGTCCTGTGTAGAGCTGATCTTTTTGCCTAATTATTAAAATTACACATTTTAATAGGGTCCACCCTTCACATAACCTGTACTGCACTTGCTTCCTTGAATCTGTAGACTCTCTCAGCTCATTTTTTAATCACAATATGGTATAGATTCTGCCCCCCACCCCCCAGTGGATTCAAAGGGAAGAATTCTAATCTCTTAATAGATATTGTAAAAGTTTCAAGGTATTTCTGTCTGATCATCACAGCTTTTAAAATCCTAGTTTTTGGCTTCTTTGCCTAAAATAATTTAATTGGTCAGTTCCAGTGCTGCATGTTCTAAGTTCCGTATTAAACTAAACCCTCTCAGCATGTTTCCTATCTAAGCAGAGATCATCTAATGTAGAGAGTAAGATGGCATCTCTGGATGTGTGTATGTGTTTTTGTACAATTCCTGGTTTTCACAGGACATATTTCAGTCTTTGAAATTCTCTTGCATTGTTAGAAAGACTGTCTCAGTTCTCCATAGGGACCATTGTGTGCTGAGTTCTAAAAGTTTTGTTTCAGTTTTCAAGTTTCTTTCTACAAAGAAAAATTAAAATTCAGATATAAAATGAAAACAATATAAGGTTTGTTTAGCAGTCTTCCCTGGTGGCTCAGTGGTAAAGAATCCACCTGCCAAAGCAGGAGATGGGGGTTCAACCCCTGAGTTGGGAGGAACCCCTAGAGAAGGATATGGTAACCCACTCCAGTATTCTTGCCTGGAAAATCCCATGAACAGAGGAGCCTGGCAAGCTATAGTTCATAGGGTCTATAGAACACTTTGGGAGAACTTTTTAACTCAATAGCACTATTTAAATCAAATTGCCAATTAAAACATAACATCGTTTAAATTATTGTCATCATTAGGATCTCTGGAAAAAAATCAGAAAATAATTCTCACATGGTGTTTTAAAAAAAAAGTTTTTCATTTAAAATATGTGGTCAGGATTTAACTTTGTTATTTTTGTTGTTCTTTAAAATCGTATCAACAGATGTAATAATTTGTAACAGATAACAGTGTGTCACTGAACTTGTCCCACACGTTTTTTTTGTTGTTCTTTAAAATCGTATCAACAGATGTAATAATTTGTAACAGATAACAGTGTGTCACTGAACTTGTCCCACACGTTTCCTAGATGTAATTTCACAGAAATCCAACTAGTTAGAAAGTTCTGTGTTTGTTCCATTCACAATTAGGGACCCACGATCTCAACAGCTATGAGCCCTGATAGCTGTTAACTGGAAATGCATCACCCATAGCTAGGAGGCCTTCTCAACACCTGTCCGGAATTGTACAAGTGAATTGAGGGTGTGTGCTGTCCTGGCTGTTAAAGAATTGAGTTCTCCATATACACACCGATCACAGATGTGACCACATGCCACATGGTCCACTGGTGCTCTTGAATTTTCTGTGAGACAGCCAACCAAAGTAACCTAGATGTTTAGGTTTTTCTTTTTGAAGATGATCATTGTCGTTGGGATGGGAAGCCAGGCAACATGAAGCCTCATAGCTCCACCATGTAAAATACTACATGAGATACTTACACCTTCAATAAAGAGGATCAGTCTTACCAGAGAGATACAGTTCTTTGCTCTGAATAACTATTTTTTAAAAGTGCTCTCACAGTATTTTAAAACATGATTGACTTTATCTGAGTTTCATTCATGTTAGATTCCCTGCATACTTAGCACAGACTAAAATGTAATCAGCATTCTGTATCATACAGATCATTCTACAAGGTCAGTTTATAAGGGCAACTTTCTTCAAATGGTATTGTAGTTTATGTTTACCATAATGATTAGAATTGAGATTAGAATTACAGTTTTTTTGCTAATATGAATATAGTTGTAATATGCATAATGTCTTCATTTACTTCAGTAAAATTACTGCACATTATCTGTATGTCAGTATACAAATGTGAATACATTTCCACTAAATTTTTTTTATTATTATTAACTTTAGGAATAAATTTGTGGAGTTTGACATGAAGCCAGTCTGTAAGAAGTGCTATGAGAAATTTCCGTTGGAGCTGAAGAAAAGACTTAAGAAGCTAGCTGAGACCTTAGGAAGAAAATAACTTCCTTTATTTTTTCTCTTCTATGCAAAGATGAGATCACAACATTACCTGACCTGATGCACCCTGTCTTAAAGTTGTGTCTCAAAATAGTTGAGAGCGAAGAGGACCTATTGAATGGTGTTCTTTATCTCCTTTTTCTCATTAAAGAGAAAAAAAGTTTCTGTCTTTAAAACATGGATGAAATCAAGATTTGCCTTTGTTAATAACCCTTATAAGTTTGTTGAAATGTAGATGATACATAATAGAAAAAAAAATGCTTAAATGTTAAATTTTAATTAAGGTCCAAAATATTAAATATAACTTTTAAAAATGAGTCAGTTTTTACATGACTTAGATAAAAAAAATATAAACATTAGTTCTTTGTATTCTAAAGAAAATTAATTATAACTGCAGTTGGGGAGGATATAAAAAAGAAAACCATATCTCACAGAATCTTAGTGTGTTTATCAAACTAGTGACTGTAAAATAAATATACACATTACTCAGATAAGAAACAAGTGTATTCAGAACTACTTGATTTGGGGACTTCTATTGTTATGGTTAAATGCAATAATTATTAAGCTTAGTTTTAATTTTTGTTCTCCTTTGTGAACTTCTTTATACAGTTACTTAACATAGTAGTTATAGCTAGCTAATAGTATTCTTTTTAAAATTTTGTTAAAAAAAATTTATACTAGGTATTTGAAAATACAGTATACTTTACAATATTGGAAAAATGAAGTATTTTTTCATGTATTACAGCAATTATACTTTGAAGCTTAAGGTCACAGATGCAGTCTTAGAATAGGACATGAAATTAAATGTTAAGTAGTTTGGAATGTATCACTTAAAAAACGTGAATGTTCATGTACTGATCATATTGCCTTTATAACCATGCTAATATCTATGCTTTATATATAAATAAACTTGCCTTGCCTTAGAAAAATACGTACATTAATCAGGAATTCTAGCTGTTTCATACCTTACAAACTTAAAACAAGTGCATTGAATGAGATTTGTAAACACAAATTCATTTACCACAGCTATGATTATATTAAAATTTTTTTCTTCTTTTCAGGGAAACACATTGAAATTAATTTGTGATCTTAATTAGAAGATAATTATGTTGATATGTGTTTCAAGTTTTTCATTGCAAATCTTATAATTATATTTTATTTACTGTATGTAGGAGGTATAAGTAACACTTAAAATTGGAAGAGTGGTGTTTAAGTGTCAGCTTTAAGCCAGAAGTAGTGAATTATTTTATTTTGCAAAGTTTTATCTTAAAGTTTCTGGATGTCTTTCTCCATAAACCTATATGCAAAGAGAATTGTGAACATTTTTTAAATGTTGCTGCTACTATGTTATCATGTAAAAGAAAGTTGCAAAGATGGGCTTCTAAGGGGAAAATTATTGGTTTTTTCAAAAAAATTGCTGAAATGTTATTTTTCCATAAAAAAAAAAAAAATCTCAGGATGCTACCGGTCTGCCATTAAGATATTTGTATGCATGTATTTTTAAATACTTGTGCATGCACTTTACAGTAAATTGTATTTCAGTTTTTAGTTCATTTATAACCAATTAATTTTTTTTAGTGCTCTTTTAGAGTTCAAAGAATGATCAGTGGTAGAAAATAATATATACTTTAAGACTGTGCTCAGAAGTCTGAACAGTCTTTGCATTTGACAGCAAGAATCAAATTCCCTTCAGTGTGCCTTTGTCAGCTAATACATGACCAGCAACAAAAATCTTTAAAGTATTTATTAAATACTGTACTGTGGATACAGTGCAGGATCTGCAGTCTAGGGTCTTGATGCGAAATTCCTGAATGCTCCCACACAGGAAATCCGGAGCAGAAAGCACCCACTTACCTGTGTTTCTAGTCACTGGGAAGAGGCATGGGCTGAATCACTACAGGGTTCATGTTTCTCCCGTGCCCAGAGGTCCTGCTGCTCACCCCTCTCGTAAAATATGAGTTTGTAATTCCTGCAAGCTTGCCCCTTGAAGCCTCCAAGGCCATGGGGTGTTTTATCCAGACACACACTCCTTGCTCCCTGCAGGGGATCAGTGAGCCCTCACTCTCACCAGGAGTAAGGAGTAAAGGGTTGTCAGTGGATGAGAGGATGGATTTGCTTAATTTCACATGGCTTCCTCCCAAAAGGGAGAAGCTCAGGCTAATGAACAAATCTTTGCTTAAATACTACAAGGCATTTGAAATAATTCATTGTTTACCACATTTCTAAGTGCTCTTTTCTTTATCAAGCCTAATATAATTGGGAAAATGTCTGGGTACGAGTCAAACATTCTTTACATCTTATTAACATTGTAACTGATGGTAGGTCATTTTGCCTTATTTGTTTGCCAAAACAGCAATTTCTAAATTAAGGAAATTTTGAAGTTGGCTTACAGCATTGTTGTATTTCATTTTCGATTGTAAGCTCAATGGCAAGGACACTATGTCAATAATTGTGTTTTTACATAGCAACCAGTGCAGTATACTCTTGGTGCTTAATAAATGTTCATAATTGTTAAGAATAACTGTTGTGTTTTGCTTAACTTGAACGGCTTTGAGACATGGAACCATGAGGATATAGGACTAGTGCTTAAGAAAGCCATTTTGGAAACAGCCTAAGTGTCCACTAAAGGAATAATAAATGAGAAAATGTGGTCTGTTTAACAATGGAATATTATTCAGCCACAGATAAGTCATCTTGCTATTTACAACAGCATGGATAGGACACTGCTAAAAAGTCAGAGAAAGACAAATATTGTATGATCTCACTTATATGTGGAATGATTAAAAAAACCAAGCTCATTGATAGAGAACAGATTGGTGGCCATCAGTGGCAGGGGGTGGGGGGTGAGGGTGGGCAAAATGGGTGGAGAGGGTCAAGAGACACAAACTTCCAGTTATAAAATATATAATTCATGGAGACATCATGTATAGCATGGTGACTATAGTTATTAATATGTATTACATTTTTGAAAGTCACTAAGAGAATAGATCTTAAAAGTTCTGATTACAAGAAAAAATTTTGTAACTGCATGATGACCAATGTTAACTAGACTTTGTGATCATTTTGCAATGTGTACAAACATGGAATCATTATGTTGTACACCTGAGACTAACATATTACATGTCAGTTATGCCTCAATTTAGAGTGCCACATTTCTTTTTTTTAAGCTGTTTTAACCTATTATGTATGTAGTTTTTTCTGTAACAAAGTTTAAGTAGTGCTGTATCTAAATCCATGTTAAAAAGGAAGTCAAACAGCCTTTGTGTACACAGGGTATCTTCCTTGAGGTGACACCATGTTACTTAATCCTGACCCCTACCCAGGGCTGTGATGTCAAGGAGGCCCTTTGAAGTTCCCTGGCAATTTAATGGAGAGGGGGTAATGCTGGAGCAATTGGCCATCCAATGCACGAAAAAGGCTCCTGACATAAGCCAGTTACTGAAAAGATGAACTCAAAGTGGGTCATATATCTAAATATAAAGTGTGAGACAAATCTTTGTGACCCGGGGTCATGAGTTCTTATGCCACAGCAAAAGCATGATTCAGAAAACAAAAGAACTGACAAGTTGCACTTTATCAAAATCAAAAACTGTCTCCTTAGTGGAAGATGCTGGTGAGTTACAATGTATAACTATAATGTATAATGTATAAGTATAATGTAGTTACAAACTACAGACTGTGAGGAAATGTTCGCCAGTCACATGTTTGAAAGAACTTGCAATCAGAATACCTAAAGTCCTCACAAAACTCAGCAGTCAAAGAAATAGTGAGACAACAGTCAATGAAAATTCAATAATCAACATAAGAACAATAAAAGAAGTTTTATTCGAGCCAAACTGAGGATTGTAACCTGGGAAGCCGATTCTCAGGAGCCCTGAGAACTGTCCCACCTGTTGGATGTCATTTCAGTTCACTTCAGTCATTCAGTCATTCAGACTCTTTGGGACACCATGGACTGCTGCACACCAGGCCTCCCTGTCCATCACCAACTCCTGGAGTTTACTCAAATTCATGACCATTGAGTCAGTGATGCCATACAACCATCTTATTCTCTGTTGTCCCCTTCTCCTTCCGCCTTCAATCCTTTCCCAGCATCAGGATCTTTTCAAATGAGTCAGTTCTTTGCATCAGATGGCCAAAGTGTTGGAGTTTCAGCTTCAACAGCAGTCTATTCAGGACTGATTTCCTTTAGGACAGACTGGTTGGAACTCTTTGCAGTCCAAGAGACTCTCAAGAGTCTTCTCCAACACCACAGTTCAAAACCATCAATTCTTTGGCACTCAGCTTTCCTTATAGTCCAACTCTCACATCTGTACATGACTACTGGAAAAACCATAGCTTTGACTAGACAGACCTTTGTTGGCAAAGTAACGTCTCTGCTTTTTAATATGCTGTCTAGGTTAGTCATAACTTTTCTTCTAAGGAGTGAACGTTTTTTTAATTTCATGGCTGCAGTCATCTGCAGTGATTTTGGAGCCCAAGAAAAAAGTCTGTTTCCCTATCTATTTGCCATGAAGTGATGGAACCAGACACCATGATCTTAGTTTTCTGAATGTTGAGCTTTAAGCCAACTTTTTCACTTTCCTCTTTGACTTTCATCAAGAGACTCCTTAGTTCTTCACTTTCTGCCATAAGGGTGGTGTCATCTGCATATCTGAGGTTATTGATATTTCTCCCGGCAATCTTGATTGCAGCTTGTGCCTTATCCAGCCCAGGGTTTCTCATGATGTACTCTGCATATAAATTAAATAAGCAGGGTGACAATATACAGCCTTAATGTACTCCTTTTCCTACTTGGAACCAGTCTGTTGTTCCATGTCCAGCTCTAACCGTTGCTTCCTGACCTGCATACAGATTTCTTAAGAGGCAGGTCAGGTGGTCTGGTATTCCCATCTCTTGAAGAATTATCCACAGTTTGTTGTGATTCGCATAGTCAATAAAGCAGAAGTAGATGTTTTTATGGAACTCTCTTGCTTTTTTGATGATCCAGCGGATGTTGGCAATTTGATCTCTGGTTCCTCTGCCTTTTCTAAAACCAGCTTGAACATCTGGTAGTTCATAGTTCATGCACTGTTGAAGCCTGGCTTGGAGAATTTTGAGCATTACTTTACTAACATGTGAGATGAGTGCAATTGTGCAGTAGTTTGAGCATTCTTTGGCACTGCTTTTCTTTGGGATTGGAATGAAAACTGATCTTTCCAGTTCTGTGACCACTGCTGAGTTTTCCAAATTTGCTGGCATATCACATGCAGCACTTTCACAGCATCATCTTTTAGGATTTGAAATAGCTCAACTGGAATTCCATCACCGCCACTAGCTTTGTTTGTAGTGATGCTTCCTAAGGCCCACTTGAATTCACATTCCAGGATGTCTGGCTCTAGGTGAGTGATCACCCCATTGTGATTATCTGGGTCGTGAAGATCTTTTTTGTACAGTTCTTCTGTGTATTCTTGCCACCTCTTAATATCTTCTGCTTCTGTTAGGGCCATACCATTTCTGTCCTTTATTGAGCCCATCTTTGCATGAAATGTTCCCTTGGTATCTCTAATTTTCTTGAAGAGATCTCTAGTCTTTCCCATTCTATTGTTTTCCTCTATACCTTTGCACTGATCATTGAGGAAGGCTTTCTTTATCTCTCCTTGCTATTCTCTGGAACTCTGCACTCAAATGGTTATATCTTTCCTTTTCTCCTTTGCTTTTTGGCTTCTCTTCTTTTCACAGCTATTTGTAAGGCCTCCTCAGTCAGCCATTTTGCTTTTTTTCATTTTTTTTCTTGGAGATGGTCTTGAGCCCTGTCTCCTGTACAGTGTCATGAACCTCTGTCCATAGTTCATCAGGCACTCAGTCCATCAGATCTAGTCCCTTAAATCTATTTCTCACTTCCACTATATAATCATAAAGGATTTGATTTAGGTCATACCTGAATAGTCCAGTGGTTTTACCCACTTTCTTCTATTGAAGTCTGAATTTGGCATTAAGGAGTTCATGATCTGAGCCACAGTCAGTTCCCAGCCTTGTTTTTGCTGACTGTATAGAGCTTCTCCATCTTTGGCTGCAAAGTATATAATCAATCTGATTTTGGTGTTGACCATCTGTTGATGTCCACATGTAATCTTTTGTGTTGTTGAAAAAGGGTGTTTGCTATGACAAGTGCATTCTCTTGGCAAAACTATTAGCCTTTGCCCTGCTTCATTCTGTACTCCAAGGCCAAATTTGCCTGTTACTCCAGTTATCTCCTGACTTCCTACTTTTGCATTCCACATTTTCAAGACAAAGGATCATAAATCAAAATGACTTACTGACATTTTGCATAAAGTTAATGGAAGAAACTCAGCCCAGGTGAGCAGGTCACCACAACCCCCTGCAGAGGTGGGAAGGAGCACTATTCTTTTAAGAAGTTATGTTGCTAGCTCACAAGAAAGTTAAAAGAAAAGCCCTCTACTTTGGAGCAGGCACTCTTATCTTTGAGAGGGTCCAGTTAATATGTAATGCACATTGCTCATTAGCGAGGGAGAGAGAAAGCCCGGGAGTGACACATAGAACTCTATGTTTAAAGTTTCTCATCCTGGCTTAAGACATTTTTTACCAGCCAGAGTTTTACTTGATTAATTTTGAGTCCTCAACTTCTGAATTAATTGAACTGACAGGCACCCAGCATCGATCAAAGGCATCCATTGCTGATCAAAATCAAGGGTTTTTTCATCTCAAGTCCCTCTGTGCTTTTCCTCTTTCGCTTACTCCTTTTCAGTATATTCAACTAAAACAGATTAAGGTAGTAATTTTATGTGCTTGCCAAGGTATGCTTGGCAAGGTTGATTTACTGTTCACATCCACCTGAGCCTAAGAACAAATAACAGTACCTTCATTAAGTTGTTGGGAGAATAAGTCAGTACATGTGATGTTGACTGCAGGCCACAGGCCTTACCCAGGTTCAAGACTAAAAGTCCAGAGTCTGGGACAGGAGCTTACCCATCTGAAGCGAGGTCCTGGAGCAACATCCCCAGGTTCGTAGCAGGACAAAGAGCAGGCTCGCTCCCTTGGGGAAAGGGATACTATCACTTAGAGACGACTTGACCTCCTGCTGGCTCATTATTTACCAAGGAAATCAGCAGAGGGACTCACCCCTCACCATCCCTTAAATTAGCTAACATTAGCTGGGGCCTGGACCGAGTACCTTCCCAGACCAGCCACCCTTATTCACATCCAACAAACCTGAAACAAAACACACCATGCTGGTTCCCTCTTTATAAAGGAAATAATTGCTCACTGTAGAAAATTTGGAAAAATGGAAAAGTCAAAAAGGATAACCTGTAAGAGGCCAGATTAGTTCTAAGTGTTGAATAAAATTATTTTAAAAGGATAAAAAGTGTCCATAACCATAAATCCTAAACTCCCTGTATACACAGGATGTGATCCTTTTACTACTGAAAACATTTTCTATAACTTGTCTTAAAACAACTACGCCCGAAAAATTCAAATTCCAAAAGAGCGCTTAGATGCAGCCGACTGGCGCCGCGGCGTGACGTCAGCACCGGGAACAGCCTGTCCGGCTCGAGAGCCTGCGGGCCGATTATTTCCAGACGCAGCTTCTACCCGCCCGAGTCATCTTTAAGCACTTCCAACCGCGTCATACGCCCAGCGAGCTTCGCATTCCCGCGCTGCGCAAGTGCAGTCACCTCCCCGCGCCGGCGTCCGCGGGTCTGCGCGGCGCACAGGATTGACGCAGACGTTACGCATGCACGCACCCACGCAGGCGCGTCGCCCTCTCGCCGGCGACGGCGCTGCGTCACGGACCTTTGGGCCGCGCGCTCCCGAGACGACGGAGGCCGCTGCGGCCTCGGCGCTGGCGTTCGTTACCCAGAGCCTAGTCGGCGGCACGATGAGGCGCAGCAAGGCCGACGTAGAGCGATACATCGCTTCGGTGCAGGGCTCTGCCCCGTCACCCCGGGAGGTGAGCGGGCCGGGGCCACGGCCTCCGGGCGGGCCCGCGGCAGCGGCGCCATGGCTCCCGCTGAGGCGCGGCCGGCCGGCGGCTGGCGGGGGACGGGGAGGCGGCGGGCGGGCGTTGGCGCTCTCTGTTTCTCGTCTTCCTGTTTCGTTTCCTGCTGTTCGTTCCCGGCGCTCGGGCGGCCTGGCCTCCACGCCGCGGCGCGGCCGCCCCGCCGTCTCACACTCACCGCTTTGGAAACTGCTTTCCGGGCATTTTGTTTTTCAACGGAGTCCCGGTGGTTCTGAATTTCCTTCCGGGCCTTGTTTCTGGGGTAGATTCTTTGGCCTTCCGACGACGCCTCTCGGGGTACTTTGCCATCTCCGGTGTAGATAGCTAGCTGGGTGCCTAGCGGATCCCGCGGACCTTGATGCCAGAGGGTGGGCGAAGGGGGCGCTGGACCCGGAGTCGCTGCCCAGGGCCGAGTCGCAGCTCCGCCAAGCACGCGCTATGGGATTCGAGACAATTGCCGCTTATTTCGTTAATAGGTTGGGAGTTAGGGTATCAATAGGAGTTTTTAGGATGTGCCATGATAAACGTTTAGGGCAGTGCTTGGCACGTGGTAAGCTCTCAGTAGATGTGGCTGTTACAGGGGTAGTCATTCCAGGTGTTCTGGGCCGGAGCCTATGCGAATAAAGATGTATGAGGAAATTAAAAACAAAACCAGTGGACAGTCAGGATTGTAACGGCACCGTAATAGTGTCTTGGTTACTACATGTTAGGCATATATTATTTTACTTTGTGCTCCCGACAACCCTGTGGCTGTTGGGACCTGGGGAGATTAAAGATACTTTTCCGGGGGCACATGGTAGCTCAGCAGGATTTTGGCAGTGGGTGTGATTTCGTTTCTTTTAGGATACAGCCTGTGCGTCTGGAGGAGGGGAATAGGTGCCAACCTTCAGATAGTAACTTCAAGCTGCTGGCATAGCTGTGAATACAAATGTACCTAACAGAGTCAAAAACGGAAGCTCATTAAATGTTCTCTGCCCCTGAAACTGATGTGGCCGTTTTTTTGTTGTTGTTGTTTTTCTTCTTCTAAAGCAAGTTTAGCGCTTTTAAGAAGTTTTTAGTGGGGACCCTGGCTCTCCAAAGCGTAAAAACCACTGTCTAGACAGGAATTAGAATGTTCTTTGAACTAGGGAACTTTTCCATCAACAAAGAGGAGTGGGCACAAAACTTTAAGGATTGGTTATTATTGTCACCTCTTTTACATTTATAAAGAGTATTATAACCAGATGTTTTTCCTCAGACAAGGAGAAATCATTGACGTTTGAACCTGGGGACTTCAGTGGGATATTGATTAGCAAGTGCAGTAGATAACTTTTGGTCCTAGATAAAGACCTAAAAGAGGTGCTTTAATCATAATGGAAATGTTTAAAATGATAATTCAAGGAGTTAACATCCCTTATCTAGCTATGGTTAGACCATATATTCTGGGAGACAACCCAAAGGTAGGTCCCTGAAATTTAGCAGCCTGATACCTGGATCTCAAGGGCGTAGACCAGGAGGAAAGGCTTCTGGTGGCAGGAGGAGAGGGTTAGGGGACAGCCACTGGGGGACCGATTCCACTTCCTGCAGGAGAAGCGCTTCTGCTATGGTTGGAGTCCCAGTTGTTGTACAAGCTGAAGGATAGCTAATGAACATCAGGAGAAAACTTTGATAGTCAGTGTCCTGGAGAGAGACTGCAGGACAAGGTCCTAGGTGGACCTCTAGAGAAGCAGAGAGTAAAAAGAATCCCCAGATTCAGTGGTTTAATATCTGGTGCTAAAATAGCAAACTTTTAATTTGTTTTGTTTCAGTTGCTTCATGGGGCTTCCCTTGTATCTTAGTAAAGAGTCTGCCTGCAATAAGGGAGACCAGGGTTTGATTCCTTTATTTGAGAGGATCCCCTGGAGAAGGAAATGGCAACCCAGTCCAGTATTCTTGCCTGGAGAATCCCATGGACAGAGGAGCCTGGCAAGCTACAGTCTCTGGGGTCACAAGTGTTGGACAAGACTGAAAGATTAAGCACACACCCTAAAATAGCAAGACACTGAGAGAGGCCTCAGGTGCAGAGTTGATAAAGGCTTGCTTCTCAGGCGGTCCTGGGGTGGATCTCCAGGAATCGGGGATGGGTGTTCAGAGTTGGAAGGTCCCTTGCCCTCGGGATCCTGGTTAACCTCAAGAAATGAACTGTGAAACTTTTAAATTAGACTTTGGTAAGAGTATATTAGGTCTTCCTGGCTTCCCAGGTAGATCAGTGGTGAAGAATCCACCTGCCAGTGCAGGAGACTTGGACTTGATCCCTGTGTTGGGAAGATCCCATGGAGAAGGAAATGACTACCCATTCCAGTATTTCCTGGGAAATCCCATGGACAGAGAAGCCTGGTGGGCTATAGTCCATGGGGTCCAAAGAGTTGTAAATGACTTAGCAACTGAAACAACAAAATAAACAAAAACTTTGGAACACATGACAGTAATGCTGTAATCGTAGGTGTGAGTGAAATGACAGAACATGGTGCTTTGGACAGGTTGGGAGGGAGATGATGGAGGGAGCAGAGAAAGTGGCTGTGAAGAGTATAAAAAGATTAGGGTGTCTGCCCAGTTGGGCAGACACTGGCCATGTTGGAACAGACCAGTTTTCTGAGTTATCCAAATTCTAAGTGCTGTGATGGGTCCATAGTCATATATCTTCCCAGGCTTCCACTCATTTCTTTACTTCGTCTTTTGTTTTGCTATTTTCTATTCCTTTACACCTGCTTTTGATTTTGTTAGGACTTCGCAGGTGGTACAGTTGGTAAAGAATCCTCCTGCCAATGCAGGAGGTGCAAGTTCCATCCCTGAGTCGGGAAGATCCTCTGGAGGAGGAAATGGCAGCCCACTCCAGTATTATTGCCTGGAAAATTCCATGGACAGAGGAACCTGGCGGACTACAGTCCATGGGGTCTCAAAAAGTTGGACAAGACTGAGCATACACAACCAACACCTGCTTTTGCTTTTATTGAAAATGTCACTTCATTTTTTTCCCCCAGATGGCTTCTATTTAGTTTTCTTAGTTTTATATCTAGTTGACTTTCTACTCCACGCCCCCGATTTCCTGCTTCTCAGAGGCAGCTTGACAGCTGTTGGTTATTTGTTCTACCTTAAACATCTGTATGTCATACTTCTGAGTAATATACATATTACAGTTGCTCGTTGAACAGCACAGATCCACTTACATGAAGGGGTTTTTTGGTGTTTTTTTCTCGATGAATGCGTAGAGCAGTGCTATGGGATCCACGGTTGGCTGAATATGAGGATGTGGAAGCTTGGATATGGAGGAGCCAGGGTTCTGGAGGGAGAGAGAGAGAGTGTGTGTATATGTGTGTGTGTGTGTGTGTGTGTGTGTACAAGGGGACGACTGTTAGGTATCCATAGATTCTCAACTGTGCAGAGGGTCAGTGCCCCTAACCCTTGCTTTGTTGATCTACTTTTCCCCATTTTAAACCCTTTCTACTAACAAAAAATGTCTTTACCTAATCTTTAGTTGGGTTGTCAAATCTAGGTTTGAAATGATTTTTTTCTCAATTTTGAGAGCATTGCTGCATAATTGCAGTGTACTGTTGGAGGTTATATGTGATTCTTGCTCTTGATAGCCTATAGATTTTCTGGAAGTTTTCTTTCAGTTGACAAACTTATTTCCTTCACTTCTGGAACATCTTGTATTTCATTGAGCATTTTTTCTTCCTCTCCTCTCTCCCTCTTTTTTTTCTATTATCTTTCTGATGTTCTCATTGACTGAAAGTTGGTTCTGGTTTGGTCATCCACATTTTTGTCTCTTTGTTTATTCTGTTGTATATTTTGATAGATTTCCTTTAACCTAACCTTCCAAGAGAACAGGATTAGGAACTCACTGTTGGGTACCTCAACTTTACTTGTCCTCTCTGTAACCCTCGCCCTCACCCTTGTCAGGAATCCACAAATTTGGAGCCCATCAGTTTATAACAAACCCATTAGCTTCACCTTTTTGCAAGGAGTATGTGAGAGGGGGAGTCTGTTGACTGTGTAAGGTGAAGGGCAGTGTGGTGTCTCTCGAGTCTGAATCGTCCTGTTTTCAACCCCACATCAGTTGATGCTTAGCAACTTAAGTGAATTCAGGTATTTGCTTCTAGTGGTGTGAAGTGTCATGGAAAGCAGCACTGAGGGAACTGGATTGTCCTGCTATGTAGCATTGGCTGTGCTCCTTACTGGCTGTGTATGCTTCAACAAGACACTTAACCTACTGGACTTCAGTTCCCTGTAAAATGAGGCGACTGGAGATAGAAATGATCAGGTTTCCCCCAAATTTCATGATTCTGTATGTTAGTCTCTAATAATTGTTGTTTAATTATCTAAAGATAATCCTCTTTTAGTGAGATGTGCTGTGCTTAGTCTCTCAGGCTTGTCTGATTCTGTGCGACCCCATGGACTGCACCTCGTCAGGCTCCCCTGCCCATGGGGTTTCTCCAGGCAATAATACTGGAGGGGATTGCCATGCCTCCTCCAGGAAATCTTCCCAACCCAGGTCTCCCGCACTGTAGGCAGATTCTTTACCGTCTGAGCCACCACCAAGTCATCCTGTGTCACCCCTTCTCCTGCCCTGTCTTTCCCAGCATCAGGGTCTTTTCCAGTGATTTGGCTCTTCATACCCAGTGGCCAAAGTATTGGAGCTTCAGCTTCAACATCAGTACTTCCAATGAATATTCTGGGTTGATTTCCTTCAGGATTGACTTGTTTGAGCTCCTTGCTGTCCAAGGGACTCTCAAGAGTCTTCTCCAACATGACAGCTCAAAAGCATCAATTCTTCGGCCATCAGCCTTCTTTATGGTCCAATTTCCCTCATAGTTCAGTTGGCAAAGAATCCACCTGCAATTCAGGAGACCCTGGTTTGATTCCTGCGTGGGGAAGATCTGGAGAAGGGATGAGCTACCCACTCCCAGTAGTCTTGGGCTTCCCTTGTGGCTCAG